TCGGCTGCGCTCAAACGGGCACCGGGCAGCTCCTGCGGCGGATAGAAGCTGTCCGGAGGGTCCGAGAAACTCGGCATGGTCGTGGTGAGAGCTACCATTGACGGAACCCCCTGTCCCAAGCTGGCGCAGAAAGTGTTGGTGAGTCGCCCCGCGAAGGAAGCCAACGGCGCGAGGGGAGGTATGCCAGAGGAGAGAGGGGAATGGGATAAAGCTTGCGGGATAACCAGAGGTCTGTAGGGCATGAACATAGGGTAGCCGGTGTAGAGAAGGTGTCCCGGTCTGGGTTGAGGGGTCCCAATCAATGAGTCGATGGAAAACGCCGTCCCTTGACCGCCCGGTCGCTGCATGTTTGTCTTTGTTAGGGGGGGGAAACTTCGCAACAAATGTCCTCTCCTCTGCGAAAACTTTCAGTCTAACCACAGAGCGAAGTGAAAGTAGATCCTCTGCTGGTGTGTTGTCATCCCTGTTTCTCCTGATATCTGCGCTCGTTTTACGCGTCTGTCTGCCGCGACCGAGGCGACACCTTTCCCCCCCCTCTTATTCGTTACACACTGAGACATAAACACACGCTCTCTCTATCTTTCTATCTACCCTCGCACCCCTCCTCCCCCGCCTCCCCCCCACCTTCCTGCGACTCCTCCTTCCCAAGCCCTCTCCGATGCGCACCGTGTGAGTGCGCGCAGAAAGAGAGGACGAGAGCGCATTGGTTATCATCTGCAATACAAGAGGAGTGAAAAGGGGGGTGTTTCCCTGGGGACTCATCCATCTTCCTCAAATTACGCTTCATTTCCTTATTCAGCCTCTGACTTTTTGGCCGTCTTGAGAGGCGGTAGTTTCCCAGTGGAGACCAAATAGAAGAGCCGCACCCCTCCACCCCCAACCCCACACCCCCCTAACCATCACCACCACACCACCACTTTTTCCTTCTTTATTTGCCAGGTTCACCATTGACTGCGAGTCGGTGAGAGACTGCTCCAGCCCTTCCCCTTCTATAATCGTTGACCACACCAACCCAATCAGCTATTATTAATTTTGATTGATGATAAGTAATTACTCTGGATGCAAGGGACAGCGTAAAAACAACGCGGGGTTTTTTCCTCGTTTTTTTTTTTCTTTTTTTGTTGGAAGATTGGGGCATGATAGAGGCTGGAGGGAGGAGAGGCAGATGTTTCTCTTAAAAAAAACACAATGCGCTCGGCTTCAAGAGAAAAAGAAGTGCCCTGCAACAATTGTTCCCCGGAGAGAGGTGCTCTGTGCAAAATTAGATCCAAGCAAAAGACACTTATGCGAGGTCAACTGCGGCGTGGACGCGGGGGCACACCGGCCAAAGTCAAACCAGGGTTATTTGAACTGAATATGATGAGAACTTTAATGTTCTTTTCAAAAGACTAAACAATGCAGACATTTTCCTTTGCGCTTCTCTGGTGAGAGTAATTTGTCTCCAAAGAGATGCACATGGCGGGATGACAAGAAAAGGGGGGAAATGAAATCCCTCCTCTCTTTGGTTTAAGCACGGGTTTAATCGCAGATCATCTCACGCTTTAAATGGCAATGGAAGCTGATGATGATTAGCCCTATTGAGTCCTGGGTGCCCGGGCTCTCCAACTGGTCGTCTGATTGCATAAGGACATAAACATATCAGCACCGACTCTGATTAGCTGCTGAGGGCCAGGCCAGGCTAATTCTGATAATTGCAAGTGACTTAAGCAGTGCCTCACTTTGAGCTATTTAAACCATTTGAGAAGAACCTCACCTTTGTTTCTTGTTTTTATTTTTTGTTTTGTTTTTGCTTTTGCTTTTTTTCCTCTTCTGGTTATTTTTGAATGTTAGATTTGTTATACAAATCTAACACGCATAAAAATGAGCAAGTTTCTGTTTTTTTTTTTTACTTAAATAGCCACTTTCAGTTGTTATTATCAAATAAGGACATTTCTAAATTATTATTTCCGGTCAATAACAACCTGATAGTAAAGTTTTATTTAAGCACAAGTTAGGAAGCTGAAAGGGAAATTATTGGTTATTAGAAATGAAAATACAATTTATTTTCCAATGGGAATATTCTAGTGTAATAGCAGCAAAGTGAGTGTAATCGAGGCATGTAGATTCACACAAAGAAAATATAAGAATATGTAAAAAGTAAAATAAAGAATAATGTGCTGCACAGTGAGGATTCAAATGTCATACTCTGTATGATATTTGAACGTACAACTGAGGTTATTTTTTAAAATGTAAGAAAATCTGCATGCGTCAAAATACAACAAAAGTTTTTACAAAATAAGACTGCAAATCATAGGGCTGTGAAAAGTCCAGGAGATTTTTTTAAAATGAGAAAAGCATGCAAAAAAGAGCAGAGGAAATAAGAGTGATTTTTGATTTTGTTGGGACTGATGGTGATTAGATAAAGTTTAACACCTGCTGGGAAGAAGAATCTCCTGAAATGCTCCTTTCTGCGCTGTAAGGTTGCAGTGCCTGTCACTGGTCTCTTCATGCATCATTCAGGATAGAAACATTTTTCACATGGTTCTGTGACAGATTATCACCAACATTTGATAAACACCTCTAAATTTAACATGAAAATGTTGCATATTTTTAATCGAAGTTCTTTATACAGTATATCTAATATACTCATAACACCTACTTTTAATGCATTGCCTGCTTTCTAGTGACCAAAATGTTGTCTATATGCTCTTATGACGTGACTCAGATAAACATATCTGTATCAGAGTTTAAAAGCACAGCTTTTAATAGTGAGCTTAAATGTATCTTCTTTTAGGTCAGTTTGTTTTAGCAAAATTATTTAGTTTTGCTAAATTCCTGAATAATCAGATAAATCATGTTGTAGGCAGTTATTTTTAATTCCTTTAACATCAGAATATGCATACACTAAGATTCCTTCAATCAATATGGTGAAAGCCCACACCATAATCTCATGGCTTTGTAAGCTTCTGATTGGTTAATTCACAACACCTTACATAAAGGTCATGTGAATGTAAGTTTAGACAACCCCTCAAGCATACTGTTTTGTTTTTGTGATGACAGAAAAAATAATCTAAATAAATCAGACAATAGCAGGAGACCTCCACTAATCCCGTCAGGTTTGATAGCAGGCATTAAAATTGTATAAAATGAGTGAATCAGTCCCAGAACAAACTCAAAGGAATTGTGAACATGTGTATGTGTGCATGCATGTTTGTGTTTTGCCCTCAGAAGTGCTGGTGCACCTCATTAAAGTACCTAGCATCATTAGAAAACATCAGTCAGGAGTTTGTCTTTCAAATGGTCAGTGACCCTAAGCATATGGCCAAACTATTGGCTTCAAGACAAAAGAGCCAGTGTTTGGAATGCCCATCACAAAATCTGATCCTGGCCTCAAAGAAAAGTTGTGGGAAGATCTGAAGATATGTGTGTGAGGTGGCCTATAAGCCTGACTATTGTGAGAAGATACTCAAAATTTTGGCCCCAAGACATATAGCTTAGAGAGTTGTATTAAATATGAAGGAAATGTATTCACTGAAGTTTTCTCTCATTATTTTAGGTCTTGACTAAATGAAGAAAGAAAAGGTTTGATTAATTTAATTTGAGGTCAAACAGTAATGGAAAACAATGTGCAGTATATAGAATAGGTAAAATAACTTTTGAAAATGTAATTGTGTTATCTTAGAGAGCATTTTTTTTATATTTCCATTTTGACAGGAAAACATCTACCCCAGTTATCAGCAACAAAGTCATCCTGACAAACATAGCAATTGATTCAAACAAGCTAGAGGGAAAGTATGTGTTTTCTAGGCACGTAGTGCCATTGTTCATACAATGTTACCTTCAGTCGTTATAAAAATGCTCCATATGTCAAATATGACTTAGAAGAAAACTGACCTTGATATCTAACGCCTTGAAATTGAGCTTCTGTCTCTTTAAAAACACCAGCTCTTTCTGAAACTCTGCCTTCAGGAACTGTTCACAACAGTGTTCCTGTATTAACCCTTTAACAGTGTTTTTACCAGTGTTGCACTGAGAATTAACTTGTATAATTACCTCAGCAGATACGTAGAATACGCAGAACCAGTCTTTCGTTAAGCATGCTGTTTGCGATGATATCTGGAAATCTAGGATTAGACTCATCTCACCAGATGGTATTCTCCAAATGTTTTACTAGCAAATACTGGGAGAATGCTAAATCCTGTGTTGCAAACTTTAAACAAGCTTCCAGAAACTTTTTCTTCAACAGTGGAGTCTTGCACAGTATAAACAGTTATCAGGTCATTCTGAAGACCTCTGTGAGTGCTATTTGGGTTCTTGACAACTCTGTCAGACACCTTGCACAGGTTCAGTCTATGCTGAAATCATGGCTCCAACAACACTCACCAGAATATTAAACCCCAGCAGTTGTGTAAAATATGGTAATATGAATTGCAATCATCTATCTATCTATCTATCTATCTATCTATCTATCTATCTATCTATCTATCTATCTATCTATCTATCTATCTATCTATCTATCTATCTATCTATCTATCTATCTATCTATCTATCTATCTATCTATCTATCTATCTATCTATCTATATCTATCTATCTATCTATCTATCTATCTATCTATCTATCTATCTATCTATCTATCTATCTATCTATCTCTATCTATCTATCTATCTATCTATCTATCTATCTATCTATCTATCTATCTATCTATCTATCTATCTATCTATCTATCTATCTATCTATCTATCTATCTATCTATCTATCTATCTATCTATCTATCTATCTATCTATCTATCTGTCAGTTTTTAATTGGACATTATATTTATTTTCTTTTACAGTTAACGTCCTATGTTCTAGTTTAGTGGAGGTTTTTGCAAAAATATAATTCTGCATCATGGAGCAAGAGATATCTAATTTGAAGGAAATGTAAAGACAAGAAATACCTAAAAAAAAACATTTAAAATTTTTTTTGTCAATCAAATAAGCAGATTCAGTGGTCATTATGGAATTAGTTTATTTTATTATAAGTCTAATTTTGACTTAAATTCCCTTAATCTCTTATTTCTGTCAGAAACAGTACTAATACAAATATTTACTGCACAGGGCACAATTTCTGGGTACAGTGTAAAAAAAAAATCACAAACAAGTTATTCTCTTCATTTGTATATGCAAATTAATAAATACATTTAAATTAGCAAAATATAAAACAAAAACCAAGAATTCCATCTCTTGCTTGATCAGTTATAGTCTATAGCTCCCTCTTGTGGTGGAAAATCCCCAGTCATTGTGCTAAAAACAGTTGATCTGGATTAAAAGTGATTGCAAAAAAAAAAAAAAAAAAAAAAAAAACAAGCAGCAGCTGCTTCCTCTAGAACAAGCTGTCATTACCTAGTTGTGAGCCAATAAAACTTAATTTAAAAGTTAAAGAGACAAACCATCTAGCTGCACCCACCACTCTTACTAATACGACATTATTTCAGTGCACATATCCTCTGCAGTTCAGGAGTAGGTAGTCCTTCATGAAGGTGGGCAGATTAAGCTTTGGGACCACTTTGTGAACTCGGCCCTCCAAAAAACTCCTGAGTCTGCAGCGTGCCAAGTGCTGCAGGGACCGAGGAGTCATTGCTAAGGAGAAGATGGACTCATAGAAGTCTTTGTGCTCCTAAGTGTATGAAAACAATGAAAACAGAAATTAACACAAATCAAAATGGATGCATTGATTAAAGAAAACATTTATTTATATGCCATTCATGAGTTATTTAAAATAACAAATAATAAACGGAACTGCCCTGTTTGATGACAAGGAAAAAATTGAAATTCATGGAAATCAAAAGTTAAATCAAAAGACTCTAGGGTAAAAATAATCTCACAAACATGCAAAGCGCTTTGAAAATAATATCTTTGGTCACGCTGAGAATCATTATCAGGGGCCTCACGCATAAAGCGTGCGTGCGCATATAAAAAAAAAAAAGGTGCGGCGCCGTATTTTATGCACAAGTTGGCATGTATAATATTTAACTTGGCGTCAAAGTTTGCGTAAATATACGCACAGTTTTTCGCTGGCGTAAAAATGTGCGGCAGCCACGCAAACTTTTTTCAAACTACAGAGCGTCAAAACTCACCTAAATACACTGAAATCTAACTACATTCGGTGTGATTTAGACTAAGAAGCATCAATCAAGATGGTTTTCATGATTTAAATATTTCATTGTTTAAACGTAAACGATCAAACTGAACCGCATTCATCCTCAGTCTGTAAGTTAGAATAAACATCCACATTCTCCACTCATAGGCTTACCTGACACGCTGTCTGTCTCTTTGTATTTTATTTTTTTAATTTGTATTTTAAAAAATATATATATATTTTGAGGTGGCATTATGTGTCCTTAAAGCACCTTTTAAATAACATATATATATTATATAATAATAATTATTATTATAAATAGTGATACTGCTTCGCGTAAGGGCGTTGCCATGGTTATTGCTTCAGCTGGTGGCAGACTTCCGGGTATTTATGCTAATTTACATATGTAGCCTATTTATGGGTGGCACAGGGCGGACCTGTAGCTGCGCTCTGTTTCCCGCAAATTAGGATTTATAAAGAAAAGGTGCGTGCGCACGGCTTGACGCATCCGATTTTGTTTGCGCACCGCACTTTTCAAAACTTTTCCGTATACGCCAAGTTTTAGTGTGAAAACTGTGCACTCTTTATGCATGAGGCCCCAGATGCTTTGGGTGTGCAAGTACTAAATCGGTTAAATTAAACAACGTTAAGAGACAAAACATTTATTAAAAGAGTAAAAACACAAAGTTTTGTGCTCCCAAGACAATAACTTAAAACAACTTGCCTTAAGTGCATCTTCAGGCACAGACTCAACCCATGTGTCTGTGACTTTCAGGTGACTATAGGCATTCAGAAGAACCTCGATAGTGTGCGGAGATTCTGAGCAGTGCTTCAGAACCTTACATAAAACACAATAAAGCTGTAAAAGCGAAATGATAGGATTTGTGCAATTATTTAAGTTCATGAGCAAGCTCTGTGACTGTAGAACTGAAGAAATAAAGTAATTAAACACTTGTGAAATGAACAGATTGGTCTTCCCTCCAGGGGTTTAACTGGAAATTATGCAATTAGTGCTAATTAATCTCCTATTAACACTTGCCTAATTAGGAACCAGGCATTTTGTCTAGTGCACGTGGGATCACTGATGGTTGTATTCTGATTCCCGCAGAGAGTGCCACACTTTGTGTTGTGGCATAAAATGGTAATGATTTGAATGTGATCTTGTGATAGTCTGCAGTGAGTTTCAAAAGTCATGCTTTAGGTGTTACATATGTGTATTGATTATTTGTGCACAGTTGGCTGGCTTGCTAAATTATTATCCATTACTATAAGAATGAATCTGGACTCGATTGTTCAGTAATATTTTTGTTATTGTAAAGATGCATCTCAATAAATGCAACACAAAGACAGAGCTAATGAAAACCCAGGATTCAGTTTCTGAGATAATGTTCATAATTCATTAGACCAATAAAAAAAAAATTATATATATATATATTTGTTTCAAACCAGAAAGGTCAGCCTACTGAAACTGACCTTTCAATACAGGACATATTGTATTGTATTATAGCACAACATTATATGTCCTGTATTGTGCTAGAAAATAAAATTAACTCTCCATAAAGATTGCCAGCAGAAGGAAGAATGAAGTGTTCTAAATACTTGGTAGATGGCTGTGGTGACCATGGACATGACAAAATATTTTGGATCAACACCAGCAGATGACATGACTGGCTAAATATTACTGACTATGAAAAAATTATACATATGAGGTCATGCTGGAGTTCAAACAAGTTGGATACATCTGTACCAGCTGTCCATGCCTTGTGAATTTCCATGAAATTCTTAAGTGGGTTGTGCTTTACAATCCCTGCAGTTCTGCAGTGCTAACAGGAATATGTGCACTTTTTTCCACCACATGTTTTTATCTTGAACACAACTGTCCACCAATATTGGATACAGCACTGTGTACAAAGCTATCTTCTCTTGCAATGTTTTATTTTTCTGGTTTAGCCTCCTTGTGAAAGGTGTCATTGGTTGTTTGCTGGACAACTGTAAAATAAGCATTTTGGCACATGATTGGCCATTACACTCCTCTATGTTTAGAATATTTGTTAAGTCGGTGTCATATAAAAGGTAAATGGTAAATGGCCTGTAATTGTACAGTGCTTTATCAAGTGTAGAGGACCCAACATTACTTCACTCTACATTCAAGTCAATTTTCAATTTACTCCTAAAAACTGACTCCTGGGATTTTATTGATATTAAACAGTTATCATCAAAATAAATGCTTTCAAGAGATAATGTCATGTAACAAGATAACATAAATAATTTTGAAAAAAATGTAACTACTGAAAATATAACTTTTTGATAATATTCTAATTCACGGATGCGTGTAGCTGTTTCTTACCACAGGGAGAGCACCAGGCCAGACTCGAATGGAGCCATGGTTGAGCAGAGCACGGACAATCCTCTCAGGATGATGGGAGACCTTGTAGCAAACCACCTTCAGGATGTTATGCATGGGAGCTTCTCCACCATAGTCCATATTGTTAACACTGCTCCCCTTAGCAAGCAACAGATCCACTACGTCTGGATTGGCATTCTTACAAGCCATGTGTAAAGGAGTGTGCTTGTCCTGATCCTTAGTGTGGACATCAGCACCGGCATCCAGCAGCATCTGGCACACCTTCAAGTAACGTCCAAGATCCTTGATCTCCTGAGGCTGGGCACAGGCTGCATTCAGAGGCGTGAGACCCTCATCGTTCTGTTTGTCCACAGCCGCTCCATGGCGCAGGTAGAGCTCAACGTGGTCGTGGAGGCCGTGCCTGGCTGCGATGTGTAACGGAGCATCTTCTTCATCGAGAGTGCAACCGTTAATTGTGGCACCATACTGAAGGAGATACTTGGCACATCTGCCAAAAGAATAACAGAAAGCAAGATAAATTAGATCACTGGATTCCAAACTTTCTTTAAAATGATCTGAAATACACTAACAGTGCCATTACTGCAGATGAGCTTAAGTGGCCCTTCATTAACACAATCTATTATGTTTCTAATGTGTTTAATTAAATTAATTTCACAATAAAAATTTAAAAAAAAAGATGTTATAAGCTGAACTGTGCTCAGTCTCAAACTAGTACCTCAGAGATCAACCAAGGAAGCAACATAAGCATTCTACATCTTAGATGATAATAATGTTGCTTTTCTGCTTAGCAAAAGTTGTTTGGATTTTGAGGAAATTTTAATTATTTTTACATCCATTTTATTATGATTCCACAGGTTTTAAGTGAAATTTAATTCTGGATTTCCCCTTGGCTGTTTGAAAACATTCATTTTATTTTGTGAAGCAATTCTTTGTTTTCTATGGCTTTAGTCTTGATGTTGAAAGATTTTACCCCTCATCATCTTCAGCTTTGTAGTGAAGGCTTGCAAATTTTTTGGTCAAAACTGATAGGTGTGTGAAACATATTCATCTTTGAATTTAAGTCACCGTGATAAAAAAGGTGCATCTGAGGGAAAGTGTTTTCACAGCATGATGCTGCCACCACCATATTTCACTGTGGATATGTTATTCTCTCCATTTGCGTAGTGTCCATTTTATAGAGCACCCTAAGGTTTTGGAGTTTAGGTTTTGAAAAAAAGGAAACCTGCTCTTTACACCAGACAAAAGGATAATGCACATTACAAATGTGGCTCATAGACACTACTTTTGAGAACTTTCACCAGCTGCTTCAATGATGCTGTTGGCCTCTTTACAGTAATTTTTCATACTTACTCTAAGGACTCAGAGCTTGTGCAAACATGCAAAGGCATCAGCCCGTCTTCTGAGACGGCATTTGCGTTCGCTCCATACATCAGCAGCAATTTGGCGCACTCTGCCTGGCAGCTTTCACAGGCCTCGTGCAGCGCAGTGGTGCCTCCAGGAGCCAGGTCTACATTTGCCCCACGTTGAAGCAGGAGACTCAGGCAGTCTACAAATCCTCGACCTGCTGTGATGTGAAGTGGCGTAGTCAGCTCTTGCTCATAAGTCAGAGACCACAGTCCTATAAGCAGAAGCAAAACGAGAGTTAGGGTACCATAGAGTATTAAAATGAGGAGAATTGTTAGAAAGCAGCAAACATGTTTAAGCTTTTTTGCAGCAGGTTTAAGCTTTTGAAATGTTTTCAATGACATGCCCCATCACAGTGCCACCAAATCTCCCAGAGTTATTTCAAAACCTACTGAGGCCTCTGTAGTTAAATCTGAAGTTCTTCCACTCTTCTAAGTTGCTGGTGTCATAAATGGCATCAACGAGGTTGCTGTATTCATCGTCGTCCACAATGCTGAGGATAGTCAGTGCGTCGCCCACAAGCAGAGAATTCCAGAACTGGAGAACGCAACCCGTGGCCTTGGCAGTGGCAATGACATCTTCACGATACTTTTTTGGCTTTTTCCACTTTATTTTAGGTGCTAGATAAGCCATATTCAACCTAACTGTGTAATTGTAGTCATATGCCAGTCTCCTAGTTTCTAGTGTATGGGGCACTAATGGGGGTTGTTTGTGCAGCGAGAGCTATTTCAGGGAGGTGTTACATGATACTGTGGTTGACCTGGTGAACATCAGCCATGCGATGGCATAGGAAGCAATGACAGTGCATTTCATATAAGCAGCTTTATTTTTAATTAACTCACTAAAGTCCATGCAGAAAGAAATTTAAAAAATGGAGAACCAAGATGCTTTTGAATATTTTGAGAAGAATTAAAAGCATTGCATGGAATGTCACATGGAGACGTTTTAAAGAACTGGTTGGCCTGACTGTGGGCTGAACATTATGGTGTCTATAAATAATGCCTCATGACTTGCTTCTATAAATGTAGCATGAGTGTGTGTTTGAACAGTATCAGGACAGAGTCCTTCCTATTGCGCACCAAAGTTAATTTAAACAATTAAATAATGAATTACATTTTCAAAATTTTGTTACTTATCATCTTTAGAAAGAATAGCTGTTATGATTTTGCTAAACCATATCAGGCCAACTGAAGACCAATGTCTCTTACCTTCTCCCCGGGCCGTCCATCGCATCTCCCCTCCCTTCGGCTCTATGACAAGGTTTGCCATGGATCCTCTTGGAAAGAAACGCTTCAAAGCCTCTACATCTCCTGTATATAAAGCATTGTGGATGACGACATCTTGGCAGACGGCTGGTTGCCGAGCAAAAGTGGACCTCCTCTGTGCTCTTTCCATTGCCTCCTTCTTCAGGATATAGCTGCTGAGGTGATGGGTAGCAAGCTGTGTTTTGTAATTGTGCCTCTCCAGCATGTCCTTGTCAAGTTCGAGAGAACGCAAGGCCGTGGATGAAAAGACAAAGTTGCCTTGGGACATCCTAAGTTTGTAGAGAAAGGTTCTGTTGTTTTTTTTGTTGTTGTTGTTTTTTCAGATATGTAAGACTGAGTGAGGGTGTCCAAAAAGACCTGCCTCACATCTGTTTTTGTCTTTGAATGCTTTGGCTGCAGTCCACTTCTGCTGAGCAGGCGGTCCACAGGGTTGGTTCACAGAGTTGTTTTGATATGAGACCCTCCCTTTCAGTTGGGCTATTTTTATTTTTCACGTGCCGCCACCTATACTGTTGTTTGTTTCCAGTTGGTCATGGAGTGATAGGTTAAAGTTTTCTCACCAAGAGAAAACATTCACAAGAAAATTTGGCAAGAAAATTGCGACATACCATCTTTTATTGCATTTACAATTTCAAATCTTTTAGTGTTTTAGTTGTAAGTCTGTCAAGTAGATTGACTTGAAGTTGTAAGTGCAATAAAAGACATGCTTACTAGGCATTGATTATAAATAAAAATACACTAATACATTTCAGAATTTTTTTGTCAAAAAAAAGAAGAAAAGAAAATTACCACATTTATTTGTAAAGTGAGATAACATGGGAAGTGACCATCCATGAATCCTGATTGACTCAAGTCAAAACTGGAAAAAGTAATGCCTAACTCAGACATATGATGAAATAATTTTTGTCATTGCTTCCCATGCCATTACAGTTTGTGTAAGATTAGATCAGAATGCCCTTTTGCAGGCTTCCTCATGTAGTTTACAAAATGTCTTTTTCTGCTCAATATGTTTTTTTTCCCCCTGAAAGCTCTAATGGATTTTGTGTATCCACATGGCTCCCTGCATTAGAACATTAGGCTGAATGACTGGTAACCGCTGTGTTACTCTGCCCCACGTGTGGTGTTCTGATGACAGAGGGACGGTGCATAATTAAGTCTCTTAAGCCTACTCACTAGGCATCTGATAAACATCACTTTTGAGTGATGAATGACCATTTTCTAGTGATAGAAACTATACCAAGCAAGTCCGTAGATGATCACAATTGTGGCTCAGAATCACCTTTGAGTTATTTAAAAGTTGATTAACAATTTTTTAAATACAACCCACTGTTTTATTTGATCCACAATGCATTAAAACATACACACATATTTATCCCCCTCTGTGAGTGGAATATATGCAGATATTGGCGGAAAATAAGGTTTGCGCCACAGGTGGAGAACATGAAAATTGAAGAGGATTTTACCTTATTTTGCATCTGAAAACACAGAGGCATAGCGGCATGTCTTCTGTACCTTAATGACTGTTCCTGTATGGAAATCAAGGTCATTTATTTCATGTTACAGTTTGGTAATAGATGCCACATTAAACAGAACACGAGTAAGAGTTTCAACTTTGAAAACACACATTACCAAAGAGAGAGACTAGGAATATTGTTTTTGCGGCTGGAGTACATCCTTTTTAAATGATATACATAATGAGTTTATAATATGCATCTGGGCTACCTCCTCTCTACTTTGATGTCTTCCAAATGGCCCGGGTGTCATCAGCAAAACATGTAGGCACTTTCCTGCCTCATTGACTCCCAAATGTATTTTAAATATCATTCCTGGTAACGCAATTATTTAAAACGCTGAACTAAACACTTACTAATGGGGAAAAAGACAGCCACTTCAATAAATTCATTTCTCATATGGTGGGCATTCGTGTTTTGTAGCTTCCTTTTTTTTCTCTCCTCTGTGAAGCGGAGGCAACTCTGATGACAAGAAAAAAAAAAAACAGCAGCAGCACCCCCTGCCCTCATAGCCCCCTGTGGACATATTGGATCTTTGGTTTCCTAATATTACCCACCAGTAGGTGCCTTTTCAAGTTTTTCTGCTCTGTGGTCAACCACCTTTCTGTATCCCTGGGCAGTGAGAGGCTGGACATCAACAGGAGTCTCTGATGAGAGCCAGCCACTTCATTTATGCAATCATAGGCAATTAGTTCCCTCTGATTATGAGGCCCTTAATGCTATTTTGAGTACTGTGGCACACATTAATACAGGAAGAGATTAAACTACAACTCTCCCACCACACGGAGCAGTCATTTAATATACTGAGAACATAATGAAATGTACACAGTAATTACAGTAATATTAAATGCTAATGGGCTTGCAATTGGATCTGCTCTTAGTTTAAGATGGAGTCAGAGCAACCGAAGAGAGTTGAACGCTATAATAGCACGGAAGTGCTCATTTATCCATCAGGTGCCTCTTAGTTTTATGATTTACATGTGATTTTTCTGTGAGGAGCTTTGAGATGGTGTTGAATTATTGGGTAACTGAGCACTGAAGGGAGCAATTAATTTGCATTTTGAACTGCCAAGAAAAAAAAAGTAAAAATTATAGTCAGAAAGTCTCGCTTCTACCTAAAACTTTTTATTAGACTTGTATGTATCACACAAATAAGAAGAACATTAATGTGAACTGGAAGGAAAAATATCCCTTGTTTTCAAAACTACAAAGAAGACAAAACATAATAGCAAAATATGCATAACTGTTGTGTCCAGACCCACTAGAATCTCCTTTCACTACGTTTACACCATCAAGATTTTTGAACTTTGCCTCTAACAAGTTGTGGAGATATAGAGGATGAATTTATTTTCCTAGTTTTTTTTTTCTTGTCCTGTTTTTCAAAATTGCCCAAGCACAGTCAGAATGGATGAATAATATCTTTCTTCAGCAATTTTTTAAGCCTTGTCAAATATTTGTCTGGACTTTGACTTTCCTATTCTAACAAATAAAGTTGTTTTGATTTATGTCACTCAGTAGTGGTTCTGGCTGTATGTTTCGGGTGGCTGTTCTGCTGGACCGTAAACCTCTATTCATGCATCAAATGTGGATCATGTTCTGCCGTGTTTCTTGGTCTTCATTATGCTGCTTGTTCAGTCATGTTATAAAGATATCTTTTAATCCAGTCACAGAACAATTGTATTTTCACTAAGGTTTAAATTGTGCAAAGTGGGACTCCAATTACAAGTACCATTACGCTGGATTCTATTGGGGGGTATCAAAGTAAAGAGAAGATTTTGTAAGATTTTTACATATAAAAGATGTTGAAAACCATGTACATTTCAATATGAAACACACATGAAACACCTGAAAATGCAATCATAAATGTGTGATATTAATGTAAAAAGGGTGAGAAAAAGGTATGAATAATTCAGCATTTTTTGCATATATTATATTACATTCAGTAAATGAAAAATAAAGGGCACTAGAAGTTTGTATTCTGGTGTTGCAACAACTCATAGGGTACCATGGAAACATGACAATAGATAATGAGCCACCCTGATTGGCTGCTGGCATTATGAGGAGCTGGTTTCTGATTTACATCTGTGATTATTCTTATTTTAACAGACACATTGACATGTGCTCTGGGAACTTGCTGCTGTTAGAAGATTCTCAGATAAACAATCAAGGCTAGTTTATTTCATTTGATTGTAAGCATTCACCACAGGACCTACACAGAGAGCACCATTTGTAAATCGTCTTCAGTTGTCATCACAATGATGGAAATGTTGGTGGAAAAGTTGCATGAATTTATCGAGGCTTGAATTGAACAGTAACTCCAAACTCACGGCGGCATGATTACGTTTTCTGTATTCTTTCAGCTCGGACCACTCCGCCTATAATGCATCGTATCGGGCCTGTGCAGATTCCAATTGTCTCTCAATGCGCTGATCACCACGCAAATAACCCTCTGTTTCATCATGACAATTGAAAGGTTCATATTTCAACTTAATAGTCCTTTATAACTTTAACCATCTATCACAACCTCATTTCATTGTGGCTGCAGTTAATACGCGCTTCCCTGCCAAGTGGAACATTTTCTAATGATGCACTCTCACATGAAAACAAGGCAAGCCATCCCAAGCTCTGCATCACTCACTAATGCACCCATCCATAATGTGTTCATAGCAGCCTGCCTAAAGCAGACGACGATGACTACCAACTAGGCCGGGCAGGAGAGGGGTGCAAGATGCAAAACCTAAATGGCCAAGATAATCATCGGCAAAGTCGCTGCCATCAGAGGCTGTATCACCCTCATGATAACATCAGTAGATTTCATGTCATTAGGTGGAAAACTGAGAAACATCTGAAATGGGTTATCTCAACAATAACAGTCAGTGGCGGGAGTCACACCCAAGTGCGCTATGGTAGTGAGCCTGGCTTTATGGGATGCTGATAAGTGTTGTCTAATAGGTGTATGTAAAGTCTGATGTAAACAGCATCCTAATTAGAGAGACCTTTATCAGTTCCTCCATTTTATGCAGATTGAGCCGGTGCAAACGCTGCTGTCATTATCTTGTAATCAAGTAGCTATTCACTGTCATCTTTTAAAGCCCTGATTAAAATGCATAACAAGGAATCAATGCTGCTTTATTCCCTCTGTTACCTCATAAACATGCCGTCCTATTAACTGAATAATGGTCTTTGGCAGTATACATATATGAACTGTATAGGTAAAAGTGATTTCAAAAGTCGAGCAACTCAATATTTCTGCATTTAGTTTTTCAATATAGTGTACAGTTTACAACATTTGCATGCTGTCAGACAGAAACCATTTAATACAACTGAATTGAATTTCTCAATTACAAAAAACTGAATCGAAAGACACTCTCAGATTATTTAAAGAAAAATGTTTATAAAAACTGCTTTAAACTCATGACTTCACCCATTCCATAGTTTTATAATCACTGGGGTGTTTTCTCATCAGATTGGGGGAAAATACATTTTGTGACTAATGCTAAATTGCCTGCACTTTATCTGTTTTTAAACACAAACAAAGTCTTGCAACAGTATTAATGCCCTTTGAACATTTTCATCTTTTGTTCATCACAATGTTGAAATTGTGATGAACAAATGTGATGGAACAAGTGTGTCTAAAAGACACTAGAGGCATAAATGACTGTTGAATTCATTTGTCTGCCTGTCAGTGAGTCAGTTGAAGTCTTTGATACCTCAGCCACCTGTTTGGTTCCTCACCTGTTCATGCTGCTGCGCTCTCAGAGCATCCTCAAACAGGTGCTGCCTTTGATTTCAGATTCATAAGAGCTGATGATTAGGAACACAAGGGGAAGGATTGAAAATTCCTGACTGTATGACAGTTCCCCACCAATTAGAAAAAGTAGCTTGTATTTGGTATGGTTAGCAATCAAAAGGCTGTAAAATAAGCTGCGGAAGCATGATCAGCTGCAACCACTTAATCAGGATGAGAAACCTTGATTTTGGACATGTAAACATCCAAGAAAAAAATCAAAGTTTTGTCTCTAAATAAATAACAAAGCCCTAAACTAGAGGGCTGGATCAAAGTATATGAACATTAGGCCTGCTGGTCTGTTGGCCCCAAGAGAAATTGAATTCCCAAAAGACACACCAACAACGGTACACGCACCAAACAAAACACATTTTAAACCTAATCACATCTGATTCATGACTCTCATGGGACAACTCTGTGATATGACTGTCAAGGTGTAGAATAATTACATCTTACTGTGACCCAGACGTTTGCGGTTCATCTGAGATGTTCAGATTTGAGAATTAGAGAAGATCTTTAATAAATGGATGTAGAAAATAAATGAAAGTGTATTTTAGCTCATTTATTTTGTAACACTTAAGTAAAACAATTACATTTTCTAAGTGAACTTGATTGCATTCAAACTAGAACTGAATTGGTAAACTCATAACAATCTGCCAAAATGATTGGACTAAAAAAATTAATTTCTCTTCATAAATTGAATCCATTGAGAACAATTTTTTAGATATTTTTGTGAATGGTGCAATACAAAATAAATCCCCCCAAAATAGATTGCATTTTAACAGAAACAGTGAGGGAAGCAGCTAAGTTAAAAGTACCTCATATGTATGGTTGGCTCACAAGTTCTGCATAAAACAAGTTACTGCTATATGTGAAAAGAAAAATCCCAAAAAGGGAACATTTATAAAGGCCATGCAGTTGGTGAATGGTAGGCTTTGTCAAGGGCCTCATACAATCTTTACCTAGCCTTTACATCCAATAAGATGTGAAAGATTGATGCCAATTTAAAATCTATTAAGGTGGTGGAAAAAAAATCTTATCTGAAAAAAAGAAATAAAATCTTAAACAGTTTTAGGCAATTTGCATTTTAAAAACTCCCCATCCATTTTCACGTACAGAGCCAATGTGAGCCTCCTCCGCAGCTTTGTCAGATTATAATATAAACAATGCTGCCATCTAGCGCAGATTATAAATACACCACTTCAGAAATGAAAAATGAGACAATACAACAAAGTGTAGACAGTTTTTATATGCATTTATTTGGGTGAATACTTTGGGGGGAAAAAACAAAAACAAGACAAAAAAGGCAGATTTCAGCTGGAATATTCACTTGGAGCTGGTGTACTTCGTCACTGCCTTGGTGCCCTCGGACACGGCGTGCTTGGCCAGCTCCCCGGGCAGCAGCAGTCTGACGGCGGTCTGCACCTCCCTGCTGGTGATGGTGGAGCGCTTGTTGTACTGCGCAAGGCGAGAAGCTTCGGTGGCGATTCGCTCGAACAGGTCGTTCACGAAGGAGTTCATTATACTCATGGCGCGGCTAGAAATGCCTGTGTCCGGATGAACCTACAGGCAAGTAAAACAAAACATGCTGAAGCAGTTTAAAACGGGGAAAAGACCAACTTTTTACTTCGCCCACCTGTTTTAGAACTTTATAGATGTACATAGCGTAGGTCTCCCTTCTTTTAGCTTTTCTTTTCACCTTTTTCTCGCCTGAACTCTTGCCTTTCTTCTTTGAAATCTCGTTGGTCATTTTTAAGCGAACGTTGGGATATTGCAGAAGTAATTACGCTGAGTTTTTACCAAAAGCCGTTTTAATAGCTTGTCTTAATTAGTGACTGATTTGGTGCAGCTGGTTCATTTCACCACAGACGAGAGTCAGCAAAATGTTTACGTAACAGTTTTCTCCAAGCCCTTGGAGCGAGGTCAGCGCTTTTTTTGTTACAATATTTCTCGGTTCATATTTGCTTTTTAACCTATACATTTTTGGACGTTGCTCAATTATATATTGACTCAAAGTAGACAGTGGGCACCGTTAGCCATTTTAAAAATGAAAATCTCAAATGCACTTGCAAGCGACACGCCATAAAAGAAAACGTTGAGCAATAAAATGCTTCAATGCTCAGAGCAAAACAATCCCAACCCAAAACATGTAGTAAGTATCCTGCAGGGAATTTTGTGCGCGCACAACTTTCCACGCGGCAGATATTGATAAAGGTTTGGTATTGCACGAGCTATTGATGTCCACTTGGTGGCAGACTTGCTTTATTTTTCTAGACATAATGGGAGACTACTGTTGAGTGCCTGGACTGCCACAATCCAAAAAAATACATAATGCATGTATTAAACATTTTGAATAATCCATTATATGGTGATTCTGCAATTCAAGGTCAGGTCCTGAACATTACATCAGCAGGAGGTTTAAGACTGAAAGGTCACAGGTGATTCAAAAGCTATAACCTATGTCAACAAGTGTAATTGCTATTTATTATTTAAATGGTGGAAGAAGTGCTATTGAAATGGAAAACATCAGCTTACACCGAAATCGGAAAGTGCTAAGTAATTATTTTGTTTTTTGTTTTTCGTTACAGAAATGCACCCTGTAGAATAATCAGATGTATGCCAGGGGTATTCAAAATTATTCATACCCCTGGCAGATTTAATGACTTTATCCTAATCTTTATCTCTTTTCAAATCTAAGCTGGGACTTAGATTAAATACGGTTCAGATTGGCTATTGTGGCTTTATTCAGTATACATACAAAACTTTCAAAGTGTTCTGTAAGAAACACTTATGTAGTAATGTATTATTCAGGTGTCAGTTAATATTATAAATGTGGAACACTAGGTGGATTTAATCTATATAGATCGCTAATTACACTGGGTGAGATGTGGTCCTGTACCAGACATTGTTGACATGCTTTCCTTGTTTGCTTCCCATATTTAGCACTGATGCTAAAGGATTTGATGTGTCCACATCACACAAGGCAACACTTTTATCAATAAAGGCCATACAATTAATTATTAGTTTCCTTTTCCTGTTGTAGTTTGTATTTTTCAGTCCAATTGCATTTTCATGACGTGTCCTCTTGATGGCACAGTTGTGCCACGAAAACTGATGATGTTTCTCAAACATGTCATTCAGCTTGAACCTTTCTGCTCAGAATTCAATGGAATTTGCATGTGTCCCTTTAAATGAGTAAGTTTTACATATTCTTGAGGTGCTATGCATTCTGGACTACTATTTTAAGTTTAGTACAACTATAAGATGCAATAGTTCAAACTGTACAGTTAGAGTTTGAGTTATGGGAAATGTTTTACAAAGCATTCATTCTACAGTTTTTAGAGGTGACAAAGCTTGTCTGCTACAGTTACTGTATGCCAAGAAATTTGGCATGCAGGTTATGTGTAGTCATGCACGTAACCTGTATGACTGCAGGTTATGTGTACTTGACATAACCTTGGGCTAAAATGTCATGAACTGGCTTTGATATGGATTACATGAAGTGGCTTAAAGGCCATAATGCAATTATTTGCACAACTTTGTTTCTTTCCAGTTGTGGTTGACCTTACTCATGGATTATTGAGGAATGCAGGGGTTTTGCCATAGCGAGCAACTCTGAATGGATGAAGTTTAAAGATTCACATTTCAGCAGAAAGAACATGTTTTACTTTTGAGGATGTAGCACTAAAGTAAATTACATCATTATTTTAAGTCCTTCTGTTGCTTTTCTAATAGCGTTTAATTGGGCCCGACCCATGTCACTTCACACTAAAATTACACATTCTGTGGGTAGAAGAGAAACCAATCTACTGTAAAATAAGTTTTAAAGTTTACTTTTTACTGTTTTAGAAAATTTGAAAAAGTGTATTTTAATTTATTAATATTTTTGGGAATTTTTTTGCTAGCTTTTCTGATTTTAAAAATATGATATTCTCCCATGAAATCTTCTGTATTTAAGTTACATTACAAACTTAGTACCTGACAGATATCTTGTGTGGCAAAAGTACACTATAGGCTCGATCTCACATTGAAATGTTTTTTTTTTTATTTTTAGTGTAGCAAATGGTGCAGTTGCTAAATGTTTGATGTAATTTGAACCTGGCATGGGTCAAAGCTTGAGTTTTATCAGCCAAGAAAGATTAAAATCTGGTAGTGACTAAAGACATTATTTACAATAGATGTTGTTTACTCCCAATCATGGCATATACACAAATTACCGTGCTCAAAATGACATTAAGTGGGGCTCTCTTAGTGCTGCAGCAGCTGAAGATAATCTGTTTTAGAGTGTATTCAAAGGTTACCTACTCACCACTGGATTTGAGATGTATAGTTCCTATTCATATTGCCAAGCTTTTTGATTTGTACTTTTAGACATCTCAACAAATTGTGATTATATTTATCAGGTATTGCAAAGGTTACTTATTTTTTTACTTTTTGCTCTCTTTTTTCACTACTGAGATTTCTTAAAATCTCCCCAGCTAATTTGAACATATGCTTGAGATGCTTTTCTAAGTAAAAATAACTTTACTATATAGTAAGCGCACAGCTGGTAATGGAGATAAACTTACCTTTGTGTTTCTGTACATCTTGCCTAATAAATGCAGAACAAATCTCTGCATTTCTTTGGCAGAGATCGTAGTGTCTTATTGTGAAAACAGGACTGTTTCTTCCATATTTACATCTCTCTCTCTCTCTCTCTCTCTCTCTATATATATATATATATATATATATATTATATATATATATATATATATATATATATATATCTTGCCTAATAAATGCAGAACAAATCTCTGCATTTCTTTGGCAGAGATCGTAGTGTCTTATTGTGAAAACAGGACTGTTTCTTCCATATTTACATCTCTCTCTCTCTCTCTCTCTCTCTCTCTATATATATATATATATATATATATATATATATATGTATATATATATATATATATATATATATATAATGGCTTGTTTTGAAAGAAACATCCAGTAGTAGTTGCGGTTTATGATACGAGCATATACTGACTTTGACCTGAGATTTTATTTTCTAAATCATGCAATGATATTGCTTTATGATTTTTATTACACAGAATCTTGCACATACAGCTATAAATTGTTTACTTGTAGACAAACCTGTAAATGTGGTAGATTTTAATACAGCAGAGATTTATCCATGCTGTCTGATTTGTTAGTATACTGCTAGCCCTAGCTCCTTTATCACTAGCTTTAAATCTGTTTGATTGATGAGATCTGAGGCTGTGTTACAAAGTGAGCTGAATTTCTGCCTTTTATCATGCACTCACATCTCTCTAAATAGCATTACACTGTCTCACGCTCATTCATTTGTGTCATACTAAGGCATGCCCTAGTTGTAGTGACTTGAATACTCAGCTTTTACATATTTGTTACTGTCTTTAAAAGCATTTTTATAGGAAACAGGAGTTCAGAGTGTAATATTTATTTACTTGAGCTTCTATTTCATTTGTCTTTTTTCACATTTTTTGCTGAATTTAAATGAATATTTAAGTACTCATATTTATGACTAGTGAATATGACTGTAGTTACGTAATGCAGAGCTCAATGGAAAAATACATTTCAGTGTGTATTGTTGGATAATTTAGCTGTGCAGGATATACAATAACTGTAAGATTCTTTTGGAAAACATTTCGATGAGATTTAACTGTTTAAAAGTTAAATAGCTTCACTGCACAGTCATATTTAGCTTGTGGAAATGTGGTATATCCATAAGCAATTATGTATTTTTAAGAGGTAGACTCTCACATATGTATGTGCTGGATGTTTGCACTCAAAAACCATTCATGAAAAAAAGTCCTGCCATTTTGTCAATAATAACCTGGAAAGATAAAAAATAAATTAACTATGAAAAAAAGATTCTAAAACTCAAAGGATAACCTCAAGGTAAGGACATTTGAAACTTGTAAACAAGTTTCAAATGTATTTTATTTTTGAAGGGCAAATCTGGATGAGAAATAAGTAAAACTCTGCAGTTATAGAGGTTAATGGTAGTCCCTGTTTTGCAAAGATTTCAGTCACAAGCGTGTTCTACTCAACAGATAAATTCTGAATAAATATGTTAGAAACTTATTTGTTTGAGGTCATTTAACCAAGGTACTGCACACATTTAATAAGCCTGTTATTTTCTACTATTTTCAGGCAGATTCATTCATTTTTAGCAGTTGTTATCTGTACTACGAAGAAAGGAAATAAAAAGGTGAGTGTATGTTCACATCTGCTCCCCCGCTTCATCTGTCTGTCACATAAACAGAAAAATGTTGGCCGTCGTGTTCATCACAGGCTGCCACATCAATGTGTTACTTAAATCTGTCAAAGGTGTTTAATTTATTTCTATTCTCCGTTTTAGTATTCATAAAAATATTTTGTGACCAGTTGATTGCAGTTATACCATCGTGTCTATGCCTGATAGTGATTTACTGGATACACATTAGCCTAAAATGCATAGCACAATGTTGGAAAATAACCAGAAAACAAACAGCAATAAAACACTCCTGCACTGAGCAGTTCACCACAATGCAATGTGTTTTGTATAAAACTGTTAGTTTGGAAAATTGTTGATATATTTCTAGTTATAAAGCTTTTATGCATATTGCCTTCTTTAGAAACCCTGTTTTCTAGAAAAAAAATGGTTTACTGCTAATTAGATTTAATAAACTTGTGATAAATAACCACAGTGACTGATTTTAGTAGAATAACTTCATTGTTAACTCTGGGTTTTCCTGGCCTATAAAGCCAACAACAGCTGAAAGAACATTTTCTGTATATACATTATA